CAGGTAATCCACCTGCCTCTGCCTCCCAAAGTGCTGGGATTACAGGCATGAGCCACTGCATCCGGCCAGATCCTGTTTATAATTTATCATCTATTTGCCGCAAAGAGTCCATCTCAATTTTAACAGTAATGCTAGTCAGTTGTGTCTGAACCACAAAAAGGAGGGGGTGTAACGAGGCTTCTGATCTGTCCTGTCATGGCTGGGAGCTCAGTTTAAGGTTTTTCTGGGGTCCCCTTGGCCATTAAGGGATCCATTCAGTTTGCAAGGGGCTTATAATTTTATTTTTAGTTTACACGTAATATTTTTCCTTAGAATCAGTTCTCTTCTTAAATGCACATAAATGTATTTTAAGACAGAAAGTTTATATGCTCTAATTTAATTGAGAAACCAATCTCACCTGTCATACACAAAAACAAACATCACAATAAGTTCATAGCAAATAAAACATCATCATTCATTTCTGACCAGATACGGCCACTGAGCTGAAGGGCCAGACAGCAAGGCTGAAGGGCCAGAGGCAAGTCGAAGCCCTATGGCTGGAACTGTCAGCTGGGGAGGGGTATCTCTGTGCCAAGCTAGACTGTATTTATTACTTTTAATCACAAGAGACAAAAATCCTCGGACACAAGAGAGTATGTCAGATGGTGTCACACCCCCCTTTTTTTCGAGATGGAGTCTTGCTCTGTTGCCAGGCTGGAGTGCAGTGGCACAATCTCGGCTCACTGCAACCTCCACCTCCCGGGTTCAAGCAATTCTCTGCCTTGGTCTCCCAAATAGCTAGGATTATAGGCACCTGCCACCATGCCAGGCTAATTTTTGTATTTTTAGTAGAGACAGGGCTTCACCATCTTGGCCAGGCTGATCTTAAACTCCTGACCTCGTGATCCACCCACCTCAGCCTCCCAAAGTGCTGGGATTACAGGCATGAGCCACTGCACCCAGCCAACCCTGGTGAATATTGAAGGATGCACCATGCCAGGCAAAATTCTACAGGGCTCCAGAAAGAGGGCAGTGCAGTGGCAAAAGCAGAGACAGAAGTTGGCATGTGGTGGGGAGTGAGGGACATGGCTAGCCTATCACAAAGCTTCAGATCAGGAAGAGATGACAGGTGAGGCTGGACAGGGTGGCAGAGGGTGTCCTGAAGCCAGTGGGGAGCCATGAAAGACATGGAGCAGGGATGGGGTCAGATTAAACCTGTATAGCAGAGACAGAGGCTGGCATCAAGGAGACAGCAGTCCCGGCAAGACACAGATACGGTCAGCGCTAGAGAAGAGATGGGCAGCAAGGCTGACAAGTATGCATTACATAATGCCCATGTGCCAGGCAGGGTGCTGGGGAGGTAAGAGTTAATGGAACAGAGTCTCGGCCCTCTTGAGGCTCACATCAATGGGAGGAGACATTTAATAAATGCATTAAAATGCAAAAATAAGATCATTTTGGCTGGGTGCAGTGGTTCATGCCTGTAATCCCAGCATTTTGGGAGGCTGAGACGGGCAGATCATGAGGTCAGGAGTTCAAGAACAGCCTGACCAACATGGTGAAACCCCCGTCTTTACTAAAAATAAAAAATTAGCTGGGTGCAGTGGCATGCACCTGTAGTCCCAGCTACTCAGGATGCTGAGGCAGGAGAATCACTTAAACCTGAGAGGTGGAGGTTGCAGTGAGCCGAGATCACACCAGTGCCCTCCAGCCTGGGCAACAGAGTGAGACTCCATCTCAAAAAAAAAAAAATCATTTTGGATCCTGATCAATGCTAAGGAAGAAATGAAATGAAATACTATGGTACAGAAGGATGGAGCTCTGCCTTGGTGAGGGAGTCCTTTGAGGAGGGGTCATCTGAATTGAGATGAGAATGATGAAGAGGAGGAAGCCATGTGGGGCTCTGGGGGAAGGGCACTCCAGGCAGAGGGCACAGCAAATGCAAAGGTCCTGAGGCAGGAAAGTGCTGGAGTGTTTAAGGAACAGAAAGAAAATCGGTGTGGCTGGAAATTGATGAGCAAAGTAGAGAGTGGGTGATGGGGGTCAAGAAACAGGCAGGGGCCAAGCTACAGGGGGTCCTGTAGCTTCCTGACCACAGAAGGAACACGGGTTTTCTCTTATTTATGATGGGAAGCCAACAAAGACCAGAGTAGTATCAGCACAGGGAGAAGCGATCAAGTTCTGAATCGATCCTTGTGGCTGAAACGACAGGAGTTACTGATGGGTTGGACAGCAAGTAGAAGCGACTCTTCAGAGGACTTTTATGGAAGAGAGAAGCAGGAAGATCAGATGGTATTTGGAGGAGGAGGTGGAATTAAGGGATGATTTTTCAAAAGGGCCATAGTATAGGCTGCTCATAACCCAATGGAATAACCCAGTGAAGGAGAAACTGATGATGCAGAGGAAAGGACGCCTAATGCGACAACGTCCTGGAAGGGGGACGAGGGGACAACTCAGAGCACAAGAGTGGGCTTGGCCTTCGCCTTGGTCCCTATTGCAGCTGTCACAAGAAGCTTAAAGCAGCACACATTTATTTTCTTTTTTTTTTTTGAGACGGAGTTTCGCTCTTGTTACCCAGGCTGGAGTGCAATGGCGCGATCTCGGCTCACCGCAACCTCCGCCTCCTGGGCTCAGGCAATTCTCCTGCCTCAGCCTCTTGAGTAGCTGGGATTACAGGCACGCGCCACCATGCCCAGCTAATTTTTTGTATTTTTAGTAGAGACGGGGTTTCACCATGTTGACCAGGTTGGTCTCGATCTCTCGACCTCGTGATCCACCCGCCTCGGCCTCCCAAAGTGCTGGGATTACAGGCTTGAGCCACCGCGCCTGGCTTCATTTATTTTCTTATTCTTCATCATGCAGCTTCTGCGGGCTCTCCGCTTCCAGCCCTCCTGAGGTAGGAAATCAGCAGCACCTGTTTTCAGAGCACCTGTCAGGACCCTGGTCACCATCCTGCTGATGGCAGCAGGATCTGGTTGAAACAAGGTGTGGTGAAGAAGCTGCCAGAAACCAGAAACCAGCAGATGGAGCTGAAAGCAGCCCCTAGTTGCCCTCACTGCTCACTAACGTAGACACTCCCACCGGCACAATGACATGGCAACATGCCATGGCAGCAACCTGAAAGTTACAGGGTTCCAGAAACTCACCACCCCTTTTCTAGAAAGTTCCAAATACCTGCCCCTTAATTTGCATGTAATGAATAGTGGCAGGCTGCGGCTCTGGGCACACTGCCTGTGGGGGTCCTGCTCACAGGGAGAGCACCTCTGCTGTGCACTGCTGCTTCCGTAAGGCTGCTTTCTGCACCACCGGCTCACCCTGACTTCTTTCCCGGGTAAAGCCAAGAGCCCTGATTTGGAGGCTCACCTGCCCCGCATCACTTACAGGTGGAACTCAGGGTGTTAGCAGGGCTCATTCCTCTCTGGAGGCTCTGGGAGAATCTACTCGCAGGCTCGTCCAGGCTGTTGGCAGATCCAGTTCCTGCATTATTCTGACACTCTTGAACATATGGCATGTATTTACATATGTCCATATGGGTAAAAACCCGTGGGGAAGAAAAGACAGTCTTGCCTGATGTTGGGATAGAGGGAAATTTTTCTTTTCTTCTTCCTGTTCATCTGAACATTCTAATTTCCCACACTGAAAATCATTTATTTATTATTTATGTAGGTTTTTTTATTCACAAAACCCTTGTATATTGACGTGGTTTTTTTGTTTCAAGTTGTACATGCTGAAAATAAGGAAATCCCTGAGGCCCAAGAGGAAGGAGGGCTTGGGCCCCCCCCCCAGATCTGGTCAAAACACCTGGCCTGGCAGCTGCAGCACCCTCACTCACCCCAGAACCCCTTACCCACCTGCGTGGAGCTCACTGGTGAATGTGTGCAGGGCAGAGAAGGCGGAACATGCCAGGGCTCCATTGCTGAGGTGAGAGTATCGCTTGAGCCCAGGAGGTCAAGGCAGCTGTGAGCAATGGTGCCACTGCACTCCAGCCTGGGCAACAGGGCGAGCACCTGACTCAAAGAAAGACAATTAAATTTAAAATACATGAATCTTTTGGGTTTTTTTTTTGATGGAGTTTTGCTCTTGTCGCCCAGGCTGGAGTGCAATGGCATGATCTCAGCTCACTGCAACCTCCGCCTCCTGGGTTCAAGTGATTCTCCTGCCTCAGCCTCCCAAGTAGCTGGGATTACAGGCGTGTGCCATCATGCCTGGCTAATGTTTGTATTTCAGTAGAGACGGGGTTTCACCATGTTGGCCAGGCTGGTCTCAAACTCCTGATCTCAGGTGATCTGCCCTCCTAAAGTGCTGGGATTACAGGCGCAAGCCACCACACCCGGCCCAAAATACATTTATCTTTTAAAGGGAGCTTTATGTCACTAAAATAAATGGAAAATGGTGTCCCTCCTCTAAGTAGAATGTGGCTCTAGAAGGAAATGTACTGCAAATGTTAAAACCATAGGCCAGAATTCTAGCTAGAGACTCACGCCTGGTAGAGGCTTTGCTTCCCAGGCCTGCAGTTGTTTGTTAGAGATACAGGGAAGCACTAGGCAGGAGCTGAAAAAACCACGCCTCCGAGAGGAGAGTCTGTCCTTGAGTACGCAGAGCGAGAGAGGAAAGTTAAAAACCAAGTCACTCACCCCGCCATGGCGTTCTCCGCCGGTGGGAGCTGCCTCTGTGAGGCAGGCAGGATGGGGGCATTGCTCCCAATTTACAGATGAGGAAAACTGAGATTCAGAGGAACAACCAGCAGAGCCACGTTTCTCGGGGGTCTCCTCCTTCCCCACCTCCTGGGAGTAGGCGAGAGGCCACCTCAGTCCTCCACAGACCCGATCCCAAAGCCCACTGCAGCACTGGCGCTACGGAGGGACCCCCCCCTTCCATAAACGGGTTGAGATGTAGCTGTGTGCCCAAGGCACAGGCCCCTGAGGGCCTCCTGTCTCTGGAAATAGGCCCCAGGCTGCACGAGGGTGATAAGCCAGGCTATTTTCATTACTTCCTTCTGCCCGCTTCCGCAGCAACCACCTCAGCTGCATCCCACAGAGTTGCCACGCAGGCCTCAGCCAAGACCTTTCAGGCCGGACAGGAGTGCCGACCCAAGGTCTCGCAGGTAAGTGGCCCTCGGTATTGCCCAGCACTGCCTCCCGCAGGGAGAGAGGAGATCAGCTCCTGTCACCTCTACAAGATGGGGTTGGGTGAGGACATTCTTTCTAAGAACCATCTCCTTGGCTGTGTCAAGATGAATGAGCTGATTCAACGCCTTTGCACTGGAAGCCTGCTGTGGGTGTGGGGGGCGCTGCCTGTGGAGGGGAAACACCTGGAAGGAAGAACCAGAGGGCCAGGGTTCCATTCACAAGACCCGAGTGTGAGTCCGGCCGCTGACACCACACCAGGTGGCCCTGGACATACTGCTTTCCCTCTCTGAGCCTCAGTTTCTCCAACTCTCAGTGTGAGCCCAGATGCGTGGTTTTCCAAAGGGGTCCCCACTGGGATCCCTTCCCTGCTCCAGCCAGTGTCCCCATCCCACTGTCTTCTGCATCTGGGAATCAGGTAACAGCTCACTTAGCCAGCGGGGGATGCTAGATGAAGCCTGGAGGCCGCTCCAAGGCTCTGCTGGTCTCTGGGGACTGTGGTCCTGGGCAGGGACTCATTTAGCCGTCATCTGCTCCTCCTATCCCCAGGCAGGGGCTGGGGTCTCTGCTAAGGGACAGGAAGTCCCTTCCCTTCCCGAAAAACAAACTTAACCCCAATCCACAGCCTCCCTCACTGCCCTGCCTTTGACGGTGTCCAGGGAGGGTCTGCCAGGCCTGGACTGGGCACGATCCACCTTCCCCAGTCACCGGCTGGTTTCCCAGAGGAGAAGGCCGAGGACTGAGAAAGAAGGTGAGTGCGCCTCATCCCATGCCAGGCTCCGCTGCACCTCGGTGCTTACTGTCCCTAAGGATGGGTGCAGGCTGCCAGGACCTCCCTCACAGCCCCTCTCTCTGCAGCCAGCCTGCCCCATGCCCGCCTGGGGAGCCCTGTTCCTGCTCTGGGCCACAGCAGAGGCCACCAAGGACTGCCCCATCCTGTGCTCCTGCCGCGCCCTGGAAACCATGGGGCTGTGGGTGGACTGCAGGGACCGTGGGCTCACAGCCCTGCCTGCCCTGCCGGCCCACACCCGCCACCTCCTGCTGGCCAACAATAGCCTTCAGTCTGTGCCCCCGGGAGCCTTTGACCACCTGCCCCAGCTGCAGACCCTCGACGTGACGCAGAACCCGTGGCACTGTGACTGCAGCCTCACCTACCTGCGCCTCTGGCTGGAGGACCGCACACCCGAGGCCCTGCTGCAGGTCCGCTGTGCCAGCCCCAGCCTTGCTGCCCACAGCCCGCTGGGCCGACTGACAGGCTATCAGCTGGGCAGCTGCGGCTGGCAGCTGCAGGCGTCCTGGGTGCGCCTGGGGGTCTTGTGGGACGTGGCGCTGATCGCCGTGGCTGTGCTGGGCCTGGCTCTCCTGGCTGGCCTGCTGTGTGCCACCACAGAGGCCCTGGACTGAGCCGGGCCCCCAGAACCCCTGGCCCCAGGCCAGGGGGCCAGTCCCTGAGGCAGATCCCCAGACTCCAACAAGCCTGGTCACCCCAAACTTCCGGAAGCCCAAAATAAACTGGCAGCTCGGCCATTTTATATAAGTTCAGAGATTTTTCCTTTTTTCCCTCTCAGCACTTGAGTCTGGCTCCTTCTGAAAACCTGGCTTCATTTTGTTATAACCAGACATCAGTTGCGGCTTCCTTGTCTCTTGAATTCCTAATAAAATGGGCCGCCCACCTCTCCCACCCAGCCACCTTTAATTGCACAGTCTCTGGACCTCCCAAGCCAGGCCCTGGGACTCTGGGTCTCATGGCCTCTGCCATCTGCTTCTGGCATGGGCCACCCTGACAGCCCAGGCCAGCTTTGCACTGGAGCCCAACCCTCACCACATTCCCCAGAAAGCTCGCTCTCCCAGTATGGCAGTGAGCAGAGCAGGGTGTCCCGAAGGTCCTGGAGGCAGGAAAGGAGGGGTTTCCATCCCCACGACAGAAATGGCTTGGCGGGCCCTTTTCCATCATGGCCTCTGCCCACTCCACCTTGGCCGTGAGGCTGCCGGGAGCTCACCTGGCCCTTCCTCTCCTCCGTCTTCTCTCTCCTTTTTCTCCTCTCTGCCCTTCTCCTTCAGAAACAAAACGAATCCCTCTCTTTCTCTTTCTCTCAATAAACTCCTACAGGGCTAACATCTGTACCTCCAAACCCTGGGGTTCCCCTCCTACCCCAAGCTGTGGTCACCAAATCCTTTAAACAAGGCAACTCCCCCTCATCTGAGGAATCCTGGTGCCAGATGTTAGAATAATAAACTTTTCTCAACCACATGACATAATATTTACGGGCCTGTTATTGGCCGAGCCAAATCCAAATATAATTACACTGGGACCCCGCCCCTGGAGAGACTCCATGTGTAACCAGCAGACCAGCTTAGGTGGGCCTGTGGGGCAGAAGATTCCACCAGGCAGACCAAGCAGGCAGAGTGCAGCTGGCAGGCACCGACTCACAGAGCTCAGGTGGGAGCAGGAGCCCCAAACTCGGAGGCAGGGCCAGTAAGGAGTGACAAGGTCTATGGTAAACCAGGGAGCCTGCATGCCATCCAGAGGGCCTCAGCCTATTGTCACCTTGTGGAGATGGGGCCCAGGTGCCAGGCGTCCCATTCTTCTACAGAACTTGGAAAGCTAGATTGTTATGTGAACTCTCTGAATTCTTTAAGTGTTGGCAACTAAATAAAAAAATTTAGGAAATACATAGGCAGGACAAATAGAACACCAACCAATTGGATCAGGCCGAGTCTGTGATTTCTGCTATGACACAGCTGCCTAAGAAGAACGATCGTAAAAGTTGGCATCTGTGCTCTGCGCACCAGGTGTGTCCAAGGCTTGCGTGCAGCACCTCCCGTGGGTCACCCTCGGATTTCCCTGTGGGAGCCTGTGAGGAGGGAGCTGTTCTGCCACCCGCTGCATGGAAGAGGGTGGAGGCCTAGGTAACCTGGATGTTCCCTTTCACATGTGAAAAGGGCTCCCTCAAAAGCTTCCAGGCCCATGGGGCACCCTGGAACTAAGGCCCTTCAGTCCCCTACCCCCGACATGGGGTGCAACACAGATGCCTCTGCTCCGATGCCTTCCTGAGGCTGTGTGTATGCACCGGTGATTCCAGGCCCTGTCCTGCTCGGTCCAGCGAGTACCTGCATGCTGCCCGGGCAGTGAGTACCCTGAGGGTGGGGAGGGTGGAGGGCCCTCTGATGCCAGGCAGGGATTTCCTGAGGTGGATGGCTGGGCACAAAGCACCCCAGGAGACGGTGACTCCCTGGAAGGTCATCATCTGCCTTTGCCAGTTTGTGCTGCTACAACCAAATGCCACAGTCCAGTACTGTCAAAACAGTGAACATTGATTTCTCATGGTTCTGAAGCCTGAGAAGTCCAAGATCCAGGCACTGGCATTCAGTGTCTGGTGAGGGCCCTCTTCCTTTCAGGGGGAAGAGACAAAATGGATAGAAGGGGCAGCCAATTCCCTCACACATTTTTTTTTTTTTTTTTGAGACAGGATCTTGCTCTGTCGCCCAGGCTGGAGTGCAGTGGCATGATCACGGCTCAATGCAGCCTCCCGCCTCAACCTCCCCAGTAGCTGGGACTACAGGCATGCGCTACCACACCCAGCTAACTTTTGACAAAGACGGGGTCTTGCCATGTTACCCAAACTAGTCTCAAACTCCTGAGCTCAAGCAATGAGCCTGCCTTGGCCTCCCAAAGCCACCACACCTGGCCAACCTCAAGCACTTTTATAAGGGCCCTAATTACCTCCCAAAGGCCCCGCCTCCTAATGCAAGCACACTAGGGATAACATTTCAGCATCCAGCAGCAGCAGCCCAACCTCAGTGCCAACCCTGCCCCTGCACGGGCAACTCCACCAGCAGTTCACACAATCTCCCCTCCCTGACAGCCATCCACACCACCTCCCCTGCCGCCAGCCTCACACTGACCTCCGGGCACCCCTGTCACCACCACCGTTTCTGACATCATCCCCTCTGCGCGCGTACCACTATTCCCCCCAACGTCACCACAGCTGTTATCACTAGCGCCTCGCCACTGCGTGTCCTCACCCCTCATAAGCAAAATGTCCATGGTGTTAGCAGCCTCCATCTATCCCCAAAGTCAGCATGATGGCCTCCTCTTGGTTATCTCCTTCAAGAGGATTTTTAAGACCTGCCTGCAAGTGGGGAATTTGCGAAGGTAATTTTTTTTTCTTGAGACAGGGTCTCTCGCTCTGTCTCCCAGGCTGGAGTGCAGTGGTATGATGATAGCTCACCACAACCTCGGCCTCCTGGACTCAAGCAATCCTCCCACCTCTGCTTCCTGAGTAGCTGGGACCACAGACATGCACCTCCACACCCGGCTAAGTTTTGTAGGGTTTGATCATGTTGCCCAGGCTGATCTTGAACTCCTGGCTGATCGGCCAGCCTCAGCCTCCCGAAGTGCTGGGACTACTAGGCGTGAGTAGCCACTGCACCCAGCCTGTATAGGGTAATTTTACCAGCAGCTGTAACCACCGACCCCCCATCTGGCTGCTCTTCCTGATCACTGGCCTCTCTGCTGGCCACCTGCTCATCGGGAGGCCTCTTTCTCTGCTGTAACATGAAATCCGCTCTCAACATGTAAGACAACAGGCTGCGCTGTCTGTTATGGAGGTGGTACTAATTGTGCAGCACTGGGCACAGGTGGCAAATCCATCTTTCTGGAAACTGTCCTCCCGGTTTCTGAGACTCCAGCTCTTCAGCTTTCCTCCTGCCTCAGCCCCGTGAGTAGCTGGGATTACAGGCATGTGCCACCTTGCCCAGCTAATTTTTGGATTTTTAGTAGAGACCAGGTTTTGCCATATTGGTGAGGCTGGTCTTGAACTCCTGACCTCAAGTGATCTACCCACCTTTGTCTCCCAAAGTGCTGGGGTTACAGGCATGAGCCCCCATGCCTGACCTATGCCATGTGTGTTTTACCACAATACATAGTAATAATTTTTAAAAAGTAATACAGCAATCTCCATAAGCTCCTTTAGCCAAAGACAGTCACTATTAACAGTTATTCTAGGCATCCCAGTTTTTCTCTTTGCTAACTCTGGAAAGGATACATTCTCAGAAAGTAAATACACCTGCGTGAAGGCACAGAGGGACCAATGGGACTCACCATGCAGTATGTCTTTCTGGTGTCCTTCTCTGAACAGCTGTAGGTAGTAGAGATCATAATCACACAAATTAGCCCAACTTTTTCCCTTTTTGAAAAAATGGAAATAGTTTTATTGGTTTTCCTGGCTACATATAACCAGAAACTGGACCCCTTCCTGACACCTTACACTAAAATTAACTCCAGATGGATTAAAGACTTAAACATAAGACCTAACACCATAAAAACCTTAGAAGAAAATCTAGGCAAAACCATTCAGGACATAGGTGTAGGCAAGGACTTCATGACCAAAACACCAAAAGCATTGGCAACAAAAGCCAAAATAGACAAATGGGACCTAATCAAACTCCACAGCTTCTGCACGGCAAAAGTAACAGTCATTAGAGTGAATCAGCAACCAACAGAATGGGAAAAAATTTCTGCAGTTTACCCATCTGACAAAGGGCTGATATCCAGAATTTACAAAGAACTTAAACAGATTTATAAGAAAAAAACAAACAAGCCCATTCGAAAGTGGGCAAAGGATATGAACAGACACTTTACAAAAGAAGACATACAGGAGGCCAAGAAACATATGTAAAAATGCTCATCATCACTGGTCATCACAGAAATGCAAATCAAAACTACATTGAGATACTATCTCACGCCAGTTAGAATGGTGATCATTAAAAAATCTGGAGACAACAGATGCTGGAGAGGATACGGAGAAATAGGAACACTTTTACACTGTTGGTGGGAGTGGAAATTAGTTCAACCATTGTGGAAGACAGTGTGGCGATTCCTCAAGGACCTAGAAATCGAAATTCCATTTGACCCAGCAATCCCATTACTGGGTATATATCCAAAGAATTATAAATCGTTCTACTATAAGGACACATGCACATGAATGTTCATTGCAGCACAGTTGACAATAACAAAGACCTGGAACCAACCCAGATGCCCATCGATGATAGACTGGGCAGGGAAAATGTGGCACATACACACCATGGAATATTATGCAGCCATCAAAAACGATGAGTTCGTTCTCTTTGTAGGGACATGGATGAACCTGGAAACCATCATCCTCAGCAAACTGACACAAGAGCAGAAAATCAAACACCGCAAGTTCTCACTCATAGGTGGATGTTGAACAATGAGAACACAGGGACATAGGGAGGGGAGCACTACACACTGGGGTCTGTTGGGGGGAAACAGAGGAGGGACAGCAGGGGGTGGGGAGTTGGGGAGAGATAGCACGGGGAGAAATGCCAGATATAGGTGAAGGGGAGGAAGGCAGCAAATCACACTGCCACGTGTGTACCTATGCAACAATCTTGCATGTTCTTCACATGTACCCCAAAACCTAAAATGCAATTAATTAATTAATTAATTAATTTTTTAAAAAAAGATACTTCGCCTCAGTGCTAATTTTTCTTTGTGGCACCGAGCATCTATTT